AACATTGGGGTGCATAGGTTCTTTTGTATGGTGTTTTGGTGTTCTTAGGGTATAGTCCCAGCAGGGGAATCCCTGGTCAAAAGGCAGTTCCATTTTCAGGTTTCTGAGGAAATTCCACACTGCTTTCCATTGTGGCTGCACCAGTCTGCATTCCCACCAAGAGTGGACTAGGGTTCCCTTTTTTCCACAGCCTCGCCAGCACCTGTTCTTTGTTAATCTGTTTCTGATGGCCATTCTGACTGGTGTGAGGTGCTACCTCATGGTGGTTTTGATCTGCATTTCTCAGATGGCTAGTGATGCTGAGCATCCTTTCAAATGCCTCTGGGCCCTAAGTATCTTCTTAGAAAAGCATCTGCCCAGGTCCTTTACCCAATTTTTGATTGGATCATTTGTCTTCTTGGAGTAGAGTCGAGTGAGTTCTTTATATATCTTGGAGGTCAAACCTCTATCTGATGTATCATTAGCAAATATATTTTCCCATACGGTTGGTTCCCTTTTCATTTTGCTGATGTTTTCTTTAGCTGTGCAGAAGCTTCTTATTTTGATGAGGTCCCACTTGTTTATTCTTTCCTTTATGTCCCTTGCTTTAGGAGACATATCGGTGAAAAATTGCTGCATGGGATATCTGAGAGTTTCCTGCCAATGTTCTCCTGTAGGACTTTGATGGTGTTGCGACTTATATTTAAGTCTTTTATCCATCTTGAGTTTATTTTTGTATATGGTGTCAGCTGATGATCCAATTTCAATTTTTTGCATGTAGCCGTCCAGCTCTCCCATCACCATTTGTTGAAGAGGCTGTTATTGCTCCATTTTATTTTAATTTATGTTTTCTAATACGTTTGTCTCTGCCTCCCCCACCCCCCATTTTCCCTTGCCCTCTCCCTCGTTCCCTCCCGCAGCTCTTCCCCTTTGGTTTTGTCCATGAGTCCTTGCTATATGTTCCTTGACTTTCCCCTTCCCTTCCCTTTCCCCTTCCCTTCCCTTTCCCCACCCCACCTCCCTCCTTCCCTCTTGTCTCTGTTGATTTCTTTTCCTTTCAGTGTTGCTGGTCTTATTTTCCTTGCATCTTTGTATTGTTGGTTAGGTTCCGCTTATAGGTGAGATCATATGGTATTTGTCTTTTGCTCCCTGGCTTATTTCGCTTAGCATAATGCTCTCCATTTCCATCCATGCTGTCACGAAGTTTAGTAGTTCTTCTCTTCTTTCTGCTGTGTAGTATTCCATTGTGTATATGTACCATATTTTTTTGAGCCATCATCTAGTGATGGGCATTTAGGTTGCTTCCAACACTTGGCTATTGTAAATTGTGCTGCTATGAACATTGGGGTGCATAGGTTCTTTTGTACTGGCGTTTTGGTGTTCTTAGGGTATAGTCCCAGCAGGGGAATCACTGGATCAAAACGCTTTCACCACTTCTTTTCAACATCGTATCGGAAGTTCTAGCCACAGCGGTCAAAGAAGAAAAAGAAATAAAAGGCATCCAAACAGTAATGGAGGAAGTAAAACTATCACTGTTTGCAGATGACATGATAGTGTACATAGAAAACCCTGTAGAGTCTACCAATAAACTCCTCAACCTAATAAGTGAATTTGGTAAAACAGCAGGATACAAAGTCAATATTCAGAAATCAAAGGCATTTTTATACACCAGCAATGAAATAGAAGAAGAAGAAATCAGAAAAAAAATACCATTCTATATAGCAACAAGAAAAATAAAGTATCTAGGAATAAATAACCAGAGAGGTAAAAGATCTGTACGTGGAAACTATACAACATTGAAGAAAGAAATTAAGAAAGACACAAATAAATGGAAGCATATACCGTGCTCATGGATTGGAAGAATTAATATCCTATAAATGTCCATACTACCCAAAGCAATTTGTAGATTCAATGCAATCCTTACAAGATACCAATGACAAATTTCACAGTACTAGAACAGACATTTCAAAAATTTATATGGAACCATAAATGACCCCGAATAGCCGCAGACATTTTGAGAAAGAAACACAAAGTAGGAGGGATCACAATACCGGACATCAAACTCTACTACAAAGCCACCATACTCAAAAGAATCTGGTACTGGCACAAGAGCAGACCCATAGACCAGTGGAACAGAATAAAAAACCCAGAAATAATCCCAGTCTAAATGGGCATCTAATATTTGAAAAAGGGGGCAGAAGCATAAAGTGGAGTAATAATAGCCTCTTCAACAAATGGCTTTGGGAGCGCTGGATGGTACATCCATAAAATTGAAATTGTATCATCAGCTGACACCATACACAAAAATAAACTCAAGATGTATAAAGGTTAAAAGACTTAAATATAAGTTGCAATACCATAAAAATCCTAAAGGAGAACATTGGCAGGAAACTCTCAGATATCCGAGCAGCAATTTTTTCACTGATATGTCTCCTAAAGCAAGGGACATAAAGGAAAGAATAAACAAGTCGAACCTCATCAAAATAAGAAGCTTCTGCACAGCTAAAGAAAACATCAGCAAAATGAAAAGGGAGCCAACCGTATGGGAAAATATATTTGCTAATAATACATCAGATAGAGGTTTGATCTCCAAAATATATAAAGAACTCCCTTGACTCCAGTCCAAGATAACAAATGATCCAATCCAAAAATGGGCAAAGGACCTGGGCAGATGCTTTTCCAAGGAGCAGATACAGAGGGCTGAGAGACATTTGAAAGGATGTTCCGAATCACTAGCCATCAGAGAAATGCAGATCAAAACCCCCATGAGGTACCACCTCACACCTGTCAGAATGGCCATCATAAACCAGTCAACAAACAACAGGTGCTGGCAAGGCTGTGGAGAAAAGGGAACACTAGTTCACTGTTGGTGGGAATGCAGACTGGTGCAGCCATTGTGGAAAGCAGTGTGGAATTTCCTCAGAAAGCTGAAAATGGAACTGTCTTTTGATCCAGTGATTCCCCTGCTGGGACTCTACCCGAAGAATCCCAAAATGCCAATTCAAAAGAACCTATGCTCCTCAATATTTATAGCAGCACAATTTACGATAGCCAAGTGTTGGAAGCAACCTAAATGCCCATCAGTAAATGATTGGATCAAAAAATTATTGTACATTTGCACAATGGAATACTACACAGCAGAAAGAAAAAAAGAACTACTAAACTTCGCTACGGCATGGATGGAATTGGAGAGTATTATGCTAAGTTTAATAAGCCAGGGGGTGAAAGACAAATACCATATGATCTCACCTATAAGCGGAACCTAACCAACTATACAAAGATGCAAGGAAAATAAGACCAGCAACACTGAAAGGAAAAGAAACCAACAGAGACAAGAGGGAAGGAGGGTGTGGGGACAAGAGAAAAGGAAGGGAAGGGGAGATTTAAGGAACATATAGCAAGGACTCATGGACAAAACCAAAGGGAAAGAGTTCAGGGAGGCAGGGGGCAAAGGAAAGTGGTTGAGGGAAGGCAGAGACAAATGTATTTGAAAAAATGAAAAATAAATAAATAAATAAAATACATTAGGACTGCAAGAGAAACTATTAATAAAATTTAGAGTCATCCTACTGATTGGGTAAAGATATTCACCAAAGATACATCTAATAAAGCAGGAATTTTTAATTTGTGTGCCAAAAGAATTTTTAAAACATGTAATACCTGACTAGTTAGGATGACTGACCTCTTCTCCTTTAGAATGTCAAATAAAAAATTATAACAACCAATGCAACAATAGCCTTCTGGTGAGAATGAATCATAATTATACCTATTTTTGTCAAATCAAAATATATATATATTTGATGTGTTTCAGAATGCTAGCAATTAGTTTATGTGTGCCATGACATGAAAAAGTTTGAAAATTATTGTCATAAAGGATTAATACTCAAAATATATAAAGAATTCATACAACTTAACACTCCCTCCCCCCTAAAATAAAAAACCCAAGAAAACCAATCCTATTTTAAAAAATGGGCAGAGGATCTGAAGAGACATTTTTCTAAAGAGGTCATATAGATGGCTAATAGACATATGAAAAGATGCTCAACATCACTCATCATCAGAGAAATGTCAAGTAAAACCACAATGAAATATCACTTTTCACCGGTCAGAATGGCTACCGTTAATAAATAAACAAGTGTTGGTGAGGATGCAGAGAAAAGGGGACTCTCGTACATTGTTGACGGTATTGCAAATTTGTTCAGCCACATATACACAGTGTGGAGTTTCCTTAAAAATTAAAAAAATACAAGAACTTTATCACTCAGCAATTCCATTTCTTGGTATTTATCGAAAGAAATCCAAAACATTAGTTCAAAATTTTATATGCATAGCTATGTTCATTGCATAATTTTTTATAATAGCCAAGATATGGTAGTAACCTTAGTGCCCATCAACAGACAATTGGATAAAGAATTGGAACATATTGACGATGAAATATTAGTTATAAAAATGAAATTTTACCATTTATGACAACATGGATGGATGTAGAGGGTATTATGCTCAGTGAAATAATGCTGACAGAGAAAGGCAAATATCATATGACTTCACTTATATGTGGAATCTAAAGAACAAAACAAACAAATAAAACAGATACAGACCCATAGATACAGAGAACAAACTGATGGTTGCCAAATAGGAGGGGATTTGGTGGCCTGGATAAAAAGGTGAAGGTATTAAGACATACAAATTGGTAGTTACAAAGCAGTCATGGGGCTGTAAAGTACACAATAGGGAACATAGTCAATAACATTGTAATAACTATGTATAGTGTCAGGTAGGTAATAGTCTTCCTGAGAGGATCTTTTAGCCTAATAAATTAATTAAATGCATAACCACTATGCTGTACACTTGAGCCTAATAATATTGAATTTCAAATGTAATTGAAAAATATGACACAGACTTAGAATGTAAACTCCAAAAAAAAAAAAACAAAAACAAAACAAAACAAAATAAACAAGCACCAGCATGGTTTCATTCAATATTTTATTTTCATCTGTCCATTAACTCTGGCACAGAATTGTTACTCCATAAATAATTGAATGAGTGGGTGATGCCACTTGAGAGTAGACTTGGTTTAATTCTTAAAACTTGTTTTAAGTCCCTTGGAAGAGGAGGCTCTTAAGCTAAGATAGTCTACTGCTGAGCATTAACAGTGTTAGTACAAACAATGTGTCAATATGTTCTTTGTGGAAATAATGTGCTATGTAAGTAGAGACTGGTCTTTCTAGTTGTCACAGAACAAATATATAGAAAGAAGGTTAACATTAGGGAACCCTAAACAAGCCTTAAGTCATGGTGATTGGAAACTAATTTCCTATGTTGCTAAAGTCCCTATCTAACTACCTTGATGTTCTGAGTGGTTTCTACCCACCAGGGACATATTGAAACATTCTTATAAAGCCTCTGTAACTCCATTTAAATACCTCAGCAGATCTTCCAGGTTTTATCTGCTTTTCTCTGCCCTGACCACACTGCTCCATTAGAAAGTTTCCAGATTCTATTATTTAGATTCTTGTATCTGTTGTCCTGGAGGGGGCCACCTTGAGTGGCATCAGGAACTGTAGCCTCATACAAGCTGGGGCCTGGGAAAGGACCCATAAGCCTTGGAGGGAATGCTGGTAATGCTGGGGGCAGGCAAGACCTGATAGTGACTCCAAAGGCCCCCTGGGGAAAATCAGACTTAGAAGTAAATTACATTCCTTGAAGCAAGCTTTGTTTCTCCCTCAAGCTCTGTTAATCTTATACCAAATAACCAGCTCAAAACTGGGAAAGAAATTTACAAAACCCCTAGACCCTGACTCAGAACCCACCTGGCACAAAATGTCTGCTTCACTCTGTCCCGAAGCAGTTTGGTGTGTTCCTGCCATTGTCATCTTTAAACAGTATCTATTCTCTGTAAATTTAAGCTGCTGCTGTAGATAGATTACCTATACATTCCTGCTGCCTACCCCGCAACCTGTAACCCTCTCAATAAAAGCCATTGAGTACAGGGGCTTGGGCATTCTCCACTAGAGGGAATCACCTTCCCCTTTTCCTGACAGCACTTGGTGTCTGTAATGACTCATTATTTAATCCACAGAGAATCAGAGGACTCCACAGGACAGGGTCCACCACACTGTTTGCCTTTTTATTCTTCCTGGGTGAACTGGTAGTGATCACTTGGTTATCATTCTGAAACTCTTTTGGATGTTCTCTTCCTGATTTCCCTTGACCTCCTGTCCCATTATTTGTTAACAGAGCCTGCCTTATTTCTCATACACAGTCAAATTCCATTTGAGTCTTTGCTTCTCTGAGAAGGCACTTTATATCTGTTGAGGACATGCCAGAAACTATGCCCCATTCCATGGATTTTATAATAATGAAAGTGGCTAAGAATAACATATGAGATTTATATTTAATATCCTAATTAGGATGCCAGTTGCTCTGCTAATAGTTGTATGTGAAAAGTAATCAGGGACCAGTTTATGGAAGGTAATGCCATTAAAGATTTTAAATTATATCCTATGTGAGGTGGGGATCCATAGAAGGATTTTAAACTGAGAATTCATGTAAGCAGTATTCTTCATTGCTTTAGAACAATATGGAAATCAAGCATTGTATGGTATTACAGGGATTTTTGAGGAAAAAAATCATGTTTTCCTTTATACAAAATGATTCCAAATGCTTATATCTTTTTAGTGTTCATACTATTTTTTCTAGTTTTATTTCTTATCTCATTACTTCCTATCAGGTTCTCAACTGTTGCTCACATATCCCATTTTAATTGTCTCCCTGGCATAACTTCAGACCTCTTTTCATTGATTTGTAGCTGGAAAATCAAAAAGCAGTGTGTATGCTGCAATTCTAAACATATTTTAAATTGTTCATAAAATGATTATTAGTAGTTTGTAAGTATCACCTCTGTTCTACTCACTGAGTGCTCTGGCTCTGTAATATATATTTTTAGTTACTAAAATATTTCCCTTCCCATGTTTTGCAACCTGATTTTTCTGGAAAATGAAGTACCAATTTCTACATAAGTAGATATAATAAAAAATGTTTGGGACGATGACAAGTACTGTGAATGGCATTGGCTTCTAAAGAAATGCAGGAGGCATGATATAACAGATTTTTTTTTAATTAGGTGCACATGTCAAAAGGAAATTCAAAGACGAAAGAGCTACAGGACAACCTAGTTGTAGTTGCCTTTAGCAGATCTCTTAGCTGTTGGTCATTTGATTTCCAAGTGCTCTGCTGACTCAAGACTTAGGCCCCACACTAGTGGCTTGATGGCTACATATCCCTGTACCTCATAGTTCAGATCCCGCCAGTCCAGGATATTGGGATTGAGATCATAACCCTGATATACAAGCATCATATTTTTTGCAGATAGCACAGAGTCCCACATATACAAATCCCAAATCTCTCCCACAAAGGACTGCCTCTTATCAAACTCTCCTCCATAGGAATCCTGTTCCTGTCCCAGGACAATCTTGGGTTGAACTCCCACAGAATAACCCTGCCCCAGGCCCTTTCTCACCATTGGCTTCCCATTGAACCAAAATTCTGCAATGCCTGTGGAGGACTCCCAGCTGGTACATATGTGTACTGGAGAGAGGAAATTATCCATAACTTTGAAGGTAACTTTTGTTCTTCCAATGTGCAGAATATACTTTCCAACTTCTTCTTTTAAAATTAGTAGCTCATTATCATTGTCCTGGATGCTGTAGGAGAAGAGGCTATAGGCACGGTAGAGGTCACTATAGGCTCGAAAACACAACGTGAAGTTCTGTAGAGGTTTCTTAAGCTTTGGGATCAACTTCACATGATCACTAGAAGATTCTCTAGGGAACACAAACACCTTCCCACTGAGGTCTGTGAAATAGAGAAAGAAGTAAAATGACCTTTACCATAAATGCAGGAGAAAAATATCATATTCAACCTATTTTCTCATATCATACTCCTTTACCATTCCTTGACCACCCTACCTGTCTGAGCAAAGGCTTCTGAAAGAATGGCAAGGGCAGAGACCCATAGCAGCAGTTCCTTCATGTTCTTTACTTGGGATTGTTATAGCAGCAGCAGTTACCAGGTTGAGGGGCAGATGGCAGAGTGGTTGTCCACTCAGCTTTTGAGATTTAGACTTTAGACCACAGGCTATTCAAGTTTTATATGCACCCATGGGTCAGGATGGGGGATGGAGAGCACCAATAATATGTGATTGATTTTTCAGGCCTGTCCCCTGGTGCAAACAATAACTATTGATGGAGAAGGAGGGGTGGGCCCTGGGCTAGGGAATCAATTTGAGTTATTTATTAAATACAAGGGACTGCCAGGGCTCTAATCCCCTATGACTCAGATTCTGGTGCTGAGAAGAGAGTGGTTGTGGACTTGCAGTATTTTGTATGAGATGAGAGGCCAAGTTGGCCAGGTCATGAGGGCCTCAGGCCATATTCCAGGGATCTCTCTGTTTGATGCTGGGCTGTTAGCTTCTAAGTTATGTGGAGAGTCTCTCTGGGCTCAGGTCTCTTGTGGGCTGTGGGAAAAAGGCTCTTTCTTCCTTTTACAGTTTTGTGAAGTAGTCTTTTGTTTGTAGGGCATTCTGGGATTCTGCTTTTTGCTGAAGGTCCTGAAAAGTCCCTTCACCTTTGATTACTTCAATGTTGAGAAATAAGTCCATACTATTGCTAAGGGGAAAAAAAGAATTAGGGCACAGTATGCACTTTCTCTCTTGAATTTCTTATCCATCTTTGTTTTGTAAAATTCTAAACATTCTTCAAAATCAATCTTGAAAGTAATTTGTTTCATGAAGATTTTGTTTCATGATGTCTCAATTAGACATTATTTCCATCTCTTTTTAATTTTCCATAAGTTAAGTTAAAAAACTTTGGAGGAGCATTTAGAGTGATTGACTATTGTGAAAGTTACTAAACCTCTCTGAACCCTGGTTTCCTTTTCTGTAAAATAAAAGGATAAAACTACCCACCTCATACTGTTGTTTTGAGGATAAATGAGATACCACAATATGCATAAAGTGTATGGAAAAGTGTTTAGATAGTTATTGTTATTGTTATCATTTTAAGGCCTTTTGTGGACATTACCATTATCTGTCTTATGTTATAGATGCTAGTGTATATATTTCTTATCCTCTCTTGATTGAAGTGGGGCATTAGGTATTTCTTATTTTTAGATCACCTATTTTACTTAACAATTATTCTTGCCCATGAAAAGAGCCCAGTATATGTTAATGGGATCAAAGGATTCAAGTAGGATGAGGATTTTTAATGGAAAACAGTTTAGTAGCAATAAAAAAAAATAGATTCCAGTTGAGTAATAGGAGCAAGTCATGCTAGAAGTAAGAGCTGGAAAGTAAACTTTACTTGGAACCAAGGAGCTTTGTAATTTCCTTTCCCAGGTATTAATTAATGAATGCTATATAATCTGGAGCAAAGATGTTTCACCAACTTCTAGTTCTCATCTCCAATTAATAAATTACCATTCTATCAATCAAAAATGGTTTTGAGATTAATGTGGAAAAGAATATTCTCAAATTGGAGATGAGGCTGTGGACCAGCTTGGGAAATGAGCAGAGTACCAGGGTTTATAACTGGACTTAAAAATGGCATGAACAGATACTGTCAAGGGGCAAGCCCTGCTGGAAAATAGGTTTCTTAGCAGAATGGGAAAAAGACAGGTGAAGTAGGAATTAATTTTGTTCTTTAGTTTCCTTCTGTGGAATGTTTCTTCAGCCTTGAAAGAGAAGAGCCTGAGTTTCAGGAGTCTTCAAAGTGAAAACATAGGATTCTTTCTGTTGCAGAAAGGAAAGCTCTGACATCAGAATATAGCAAAATGAATGCTGGGTCTTTAGAACTGGGTGGGGTTCACAAGCTGAACCAATCTCATGGTTGCTGAGAGGGTTCTGGGTGTCTTCCTGCCAGTGAAAGTTCAGGTGAGAGGTGATTTCTGTTTGGATGGCCATGAAACAGCTGGGGGTAGAAGAGGAAAGACAACAGTGTGTTGGACAGAAGGAGGACTACTGTGCTTCAAGTAGAACCATCCTCATTACATCAGTTGGCATGCAATAAAGTTTGCCTTCAGAGAGCATAGGAGAAAGGGCATTTAGTGCCATAGAGAAGGCATGGCATAAAGGTATAACTGGAAAAAGACAGAGGTGTGAGATCTAACTGAAAATTACCCAAGCAATTTAAATAATACTTAAGACATACTTTTTAAGGCCTTGTAGATGTTTATGGAAGACATAAAGTCACAATAACCATTGGTTAGGAAGATACTGAAGAAGAACATGGGGCAGAACAAGGTTTTTGGTGCTAATAAAGAATTATTTGATATGTATTCTGTTAGCTATAAGAGAACATAAAAGCACTTAATCGTAATAGATGGAAAGAGGCAATGGAAGCATCAAGAGTAACTGCTTTTATACAATTGCATAACAGGGTGATAATCAAAGGCATAAGATTTTAGTCTGATGTGAGGTCTTATGATAAAAAGATAAAAAAGATAAGATTTTTAAAAAATATATAGACTGGAATAAAATTTTACTCCAAATTTCTGATTGTGTATGATTTGGAGGAATATGGTGTTAATGGTGCAGATAGAACAACTGAAAGGAAGTTCATTTAGAAGAGTGAGTGGGTAGATGATAAATTTGGTTCCTAAAATACTAAATCTGAAATGATTGTAGAGCCTTCATTGAGCAAAGACCAGTGGAGGATTTGAAATATTTGAGTGCCTCCTGGGATTCAGAATATACGTTTCAAAGGAATCAACATATCAATGATGATGAAACAAAAATAAATTATCCCTTTTAGTGGAAAGGAGAAGAGGTAAAAGGTCAGGAGAAGCCCAGCTCTGACTTGAGAAAGGACTCACATTTCTAGGGTAGCAGGTAAAGAAAGAGTCAGTGAGGGAGGCAAAAAAAAATATTTGGCAGAGAGAAGAATAGTGTATGGAAACTAAGTTATAAGTTTCCAGGATGCAGGGTTCAGTGCTACTAAATGTATCAGAGAGATATAAATAGAAAGAATGCTGGATGTAGCAATAAAAACTTCATCAGTGATCTTTGCAAGAACAATTTCCTTAAAGTGAGCATGGAAGAAGCCAGGGAGCAGGGGATTATGAAGGGAGAAAAAGGAGAGGAGTCTCTTCCCCAAGGGTTAATAATTCTGACAAAGACCAAAAGGAAAGAAGTAAGATCCTCTATAAGGGACTCAGAATACAATGTGTATTTCCCAGACAGGTGATAGATGGTCTCTACTTGTCAGAGAGGTTTTGGTGTCCCTGTTTCCTACCCCATTAACATTTCACCCAATGACAGGGGAAAAAAACAAAACAAAACAGTGTCCACCTTATATTATATGTGATCTTTCTACCAAAGTAGCTGTTCCAGACTCTAAATGCCAGGCTCCAGATTTCTGACAAACTCCAACCTACTCCCCGCCTTTCTAATTCTAGCATATTCATTTCTTCCTGGGTCCTCCTGATACAGAGAAGTATTTCCTTAACCCAAGTTCTCTATTTCTAATTTTAAGATTTATTTATAAGAAGAAATTTCTGCTAATTTTTTCATCTTCTATTTTTGGGTTTAGTCCTACAGCAAGACCATGGTACCTCAATAAAATCATACTTTAAATTCAAAATTCAACTGAAATTCCTCTCTAGAATGCCACAGTATTTATTTCTCTGTCTTTATCTTTCTCTATATCCCTAAATTGTCACTCATTTATTTTGGAACTACTCAAGTTCATAATATTTATAAAATTTACCTTCATTGCTGAAATGAATTTTTATCCACTTGTTTAAAAAATGAATTTGTATAAAATTTGCTATTCACTTAAACCTATTGGCCATAACCATCCTCTTTTGTTTTATTTATTTATTTTTCTTTTATAATTTGTTTTCTTTTTTAAAATGTTTATTTTTATTTATTTATTTCTAAATTATGTTTATTCTATTACAGTTGTCTCAATTTTTCTCCCTTTACCCCCCCACCTACCCCACCCCCACATAAACTATTCATAATCCCTTTGTGAGAATAGCATGTGGAGGAGGAATTGCAGAATAAATAAATAAATAAATTAATTAATTAATTAATTAAACAATGGTGGAGACTCACTGTAATTCTGTGTCTTAAGTATGTTGCAGAAAAAAGTTCTCTTTTCTATGTGTAGAAATATATTTCTGAGTCTATTTAATCTCAGGCAGAGATTAAATACATTGAAGAAGAGACAGATGATTTCTCACTTGTATGGCTGGAAGAGGTCTTACCTAGAGTTATTTTGTTTCATTCTTGACATCTTGTCTTTCCCTATGCCATGGTTCTTCCCATGACCTAGAGTCCATCTCAGAACAGGAGAACTTTACCATGTTGAGCCATTTAATTCATATCCCTAGAATTGCAGAACACAGAGAAAAAACCATGGAAGTTCACAGAGTGCACCTTTCTCGGCATTTCAAGCTTCATGAGTGCCATTGTGATATCTCAATTTCAGTAGGGAATGGCATTATCAGGAATGTCACTCACATTGGCCAAGCACTTTTTCCTGAGCATGTTGGCTAGTTGAGAGACTGTATATACTGCTTATCATTCCATCATGTTCTGTAGTCTTATATCTCAGAACTAGCTAATCTTCTAGTTTAAAAATTTTTTTCTGTCATTTTTGACTACCACCAACTCTTATGTGGTCATCTGAAAATCTCTGAGGCATAGAGTCTTTATGAACAAGAGGGTGTGTGCCTAATTGGTATGTGAGGCTTTTAATATTTCCCTGGGCATAGCAGTTGCCCAGACATCATCCACATTCTCTATTCCTGTGACACTCTGGTAGCCCATTTCTTCTGTAATAAACTTCCTGCAATGAAATTCTACTGCATTGACACTACTGTCAGTAAAGATTTTTTATTCCCCACACATATGTTTGGGTTTCCATAGGTTTGGCTTATATTTTCTACATCAACATCTTCATCACCTCTACCATGTTTAGAATTGCCTCATCTAGGGGGTTTGCCATCTGTGCCTCCCACCTCACTGTGGTCATTGTCTAGTATGGTTGTGACTCTATTTCCTACCTCAAGCTCAAGCTAATAAAAACAATGGAAAATAGACCATTTCTCAGAGATCTACCTCATCATT